CCAAATTCCTAATCCAGGGAAGCCCCAGGCAGCTGGGATTGCCCCCTCCCCCCTCTCCCCCGGGGCCCGCACCAGAGCGAAATTTTGCCGCAGGTGCTGCAGACCTTCTCAAGCGGCCGACTGCAGTCCCCCCACGGTGAAGGCCGGCTGCCTAACCATCTTCGAGATCATTGAACGGCCCACAAATGCCCAAGCTTGGGCCGAGAGGTGGCTGGCAATGAGGGAATGAACCAGTGGAGTTGAGAGGCAGCAGCCAGTGTTGGAGAGACTAGGGTAACATGGGAAATAGAGCGGCAGAAGACCGTTAGCAGCCCAGTTCCTGCTACGACTAAGGACAGCGTGGCCATTCTCGCAGCCAATGCCTGCACTGGTGGTGCCGGGGCCAGAGGAACCAGGAAAACCAACACGGCTGTTGCTTTTGTTTCCTGGACGCTGGACGCAAGATCTCGCTGCCGCGACGCTGAACTGCAAGACCTCGCTGCCTCCGGCCCAAGCTGGCGGCAGCGAGTTCCAGCCTCGGGATAAGCGAGTCACCAGCACTTCTCTCGTCTGTGGCGCTTACGACCTACGTTCTGTTCTACGAAGAAGCACGCTAGCATTTTCTTTATCTGATAGGATTGAACGTGCCAATTACCATTTGGTGGAGATTTTATTGCAGGCGAAAAACTTTTGTTCGACTTTGATGTTTGCAGCTATTGGCTGGATGGACATTCAGCTGGATGTGACCCCCTTCACCAGGCGAGAGGATTGCATTACGGGTGCAACTCTCCCGACTCTCTGTACAACAAGGCTTGCTGCAGCCTTTCCTGCCGGTGTCTGAGACGCCTTGCAAGTGCGTCCAGCGTCCAGGAAACAAAAGCAACAGCTAGAGAACATCTTGAGGCCATTTCCACCAATGTACTGCACGGAAGTTCTGGGAAACACTGATGTGCTGCTGCATCGAATCGAGACTGGCGACGCTCGACCAACTGTGGTGCGACCCAAAGCCAGCCCCTCATCGTCCATGTAAGAGCTCTCCTGAATGCTGCACTACAGAAGTGGATCGACACCGGAGCCTTGTGCAGCTCCCAGAGTTGTTGGGCTTCTCCCGTCACAGCCTCAACGCTGTAACGGTGAGAGATTCATATCAGTTTCCCTTGATAGACTCAGTCACGTACACTATCGACAACACGAAAGTGTTCACAACGCTTGACTACAGTCTAGCATAACCGAGATAGACCCAGAGGCGGTTTCGATAACCGCTTTTACCTATCACAAGGGAGTGTTCGAGCCTTTCAAATCCGCCCGATACCTTTCAACATCGAGTGGACATTGGTGTCGATGATACAAGGAGCAAGTTTGTGATGGCGTACATGAATGACGTCATTTTCCCCAATCTTTCAAGAAATACCTCAAACATCTTAGGATTGTCCTCGAGCAAATGCAGTCTGCCAACTTGACAGTTCACCCTGAAAAGAAAATGAACCCTCTTGCCTTTGCTGCTGTTAACCCGAGGTTTTCACCTTAATCGGGACAAGATGTGTGCGATAACCGATTGCCCGCAGCCGCAAGACGTCAAGAGCTTGCAATGCTTTCTAGAATTGATTGCATGTTATTGCCAACTCGTCCCACACTGCACCAAGGTAACTAACTCTTTGCATTTGCTTTTGTGCAAAGATAAAATTGGCATTGGAGACGAAAGCAACCAGACGCTTTCCCTTGGCTCTCGAAGGCAATCACCGACTTCGCTTCGTTAGTTTCCGGGTCTCTTTAACCTGTTTGTTGTTCAGACTGATGCCAGCAACTCTGGCCTTGGTGCAGTCCTGCCCCAGGAACACAACGGTGTTCTTCGGCCAGTTGCCTTCACCAGCCGCATAGCGACAGCGGCCAAACACTACTATTACGCAATGGAAAAGGAGTGTCTCGCCACTATTTTTGCCCTAAAAAATTTAACATATATTTCAATGGCACATACTTTCAGATCCAGACCAATCAAGTGCTTTCCTGGCCGAATAATTTGTGGAATCCAGTCTGACGTCTCGCACAATGAGCTCCAAAATTACAGGCATGCCACTAAGCCACTACATACAAGAAGGAAGTTTTGTTGCGGCAGATGTGCTCTCGTGTGCTCCTTTCCAGGTCCTTCCCACTCAGGACGAACATGCACTGGTGGGAATAACTGGCATTGTGGCGGACACACCAGTCAGATGGGGGACGTTGGTGATCAGAGAACTTCGCAAGGCACAGTGGGAGGGGAAACTCCATCTACGGGTGTGCGAGAAGCTTGCAGAACAAAGGGTAGGCCGCACCGAGGGCGACGGTAGGTACGACTCATACTTGCCGAGAGAGAGATTGACTTCTTCTCAGCTACATTTTTCAAGCAGACGACGGTGCCCATGGCTCGCCTTTCAGGATTGTGAAACTTCGAACGCCGTTCATCAGTCACTTCCATGATTCAGCCTCATCAGGTTACAGCAGCAGAAGTATGACTTGCAATAATTTACGCCATGTCGAGACTTGATCAGGAATCAGGCAGGATATACTCAGAGCCATATATACGGGGAGAGTTTGGCGATTCTTTCATCCTGCCGTCAGGGAGGCTCCTCCCTCCGGTGGTGACGTAGCTGCCCGGATGCTGCCGGGTTTCGCTCTCGGCGCGCTCGGCGGCGGCGTCGGTCCGCCATATTTACACCTTGCGTGTGCGGTGCTTGCGGGCAGAGCGGTAGATGGCTGAGCTTCCTTTGAGTTTATCGGTTGTTTCACAAGTAATACACGGCTCCTCCGCGTACGATGGGCTGCTGCTGTGCCGTGGGCTGTTCGAACCGGAACACGACAGGTTTCCGATTATTTAAACTGCCCAAAGACAAGAAGAGGCGCCGGGTATGGATCGCCAACATCCGACGCAACAAGTGGACTCCCACCAGCCGCTCGGAGATTTGTGAGGTAAGTGCTATTGCTTTTGTGAATTGATCGTTTCTGTTTACATGTGGTTGAAGTGACTGTTTGTGGTTGTTGTTCTTTTTTTTTTGGTGCTGAAATCTGGGGTTGCGCAGGATTATGGTCTGATCGGTGCGTGCGCCGTGAACGTTGCGCAGGCGTTGACGACCATTCGACTTTCCCATCTCGCTATGCGTTTCCACATTTTGACGTTTACATTCGCCTTCGTATACGCCGTAAATCTAGCCAGTAAAGGCTTTCGGTAATACATGTATCTGTCGAAAAGTTCGCCGAGCTAACGATATAGTACCAAGATTCTGAACAAGTTGTTTTGGTCGCGAAATTTCGACGACTCTGACTTCGATTTGGTCGCGAAATGCTTTACAATTTGCACGATTATTCGGAGTGAATTCAAAGAGAACAGCAATTTAATGTTTATATTGAAATGAGCATCGTGCTCCGTGCATTAGTGCCGAGATCAAGGTTGCTTTGGGCCATAATTAGTCCTTCGGTAAAGTGCACATGAGCTCACGAATTATGAGGTCTAAAGTTAAGGATGACAGCCGGAGTTTTCTGACAGACGTGTTGCGCGCGCATTCAGCCTGCAGTACAATCTCCTTCGCAGGTTCACTTCGAGCCGTCTCACTTTGAGCAAGCTAGGCAAGATGGGTGGAAGAAACTGAAGACTACAGCAGTTCCCACTATCTTTGCCTACAATGAGCTGCAACGAACAAAGCTCAAGAGAAAGCCTCCAAAGCACCGAGAAAGATTCCCAATGGTAAGACAGTCTAAGCACAATTAATATGTCAAGCATATTAGAAGGAGCAGAACATCACTCATTACGGCATATTACAATTTTTGTCACGATTGCAACAGTTTGCGGTGACGGTGCATTGTACTAGTGATTTGACTTCACGAGTTGCTTGCCAAATATATAATGTTCAAATTTTGAATATGCTCTTCGACTACAGTCCCAGTGCCCGAGTGGGTCTGCAACAGCTGTCAAGTCGTCGGACACAGACCATGTCAGCCTGAACGGACCTCCAGACTCCATGAACGTTAGTACCATGTTTTGTTTTTGCAGTGAATGTTAGCATAAAACGCAGTGACACTGCATTACTCTCATATGTTCCTTTCAACTGCAGTCCCAGTGCGCGATTGGGTCTGCAACAGCAACAGAGTTGTCAGACGCGAACAATGCCAGCCTGAATGCAGTGACTTCAGTCGCAACTGCGGCCTGCCCCCTACTTCAGTCTCCTCCAGACTCCGAGGGCGTAAGCAGCGTGTTTTGTTTTTGTCCTGAATGTTCACATAAAACACAGTGCCACTACATTACTTGCAAATGTTCCCTTCGACTGCAGTCACAGTGCCCGAGTGGTTCTGCAGCTGCAACAAAGTCGTCAGGCGCAGACTGTGCCAGCCTGGATGCAGTGACTTCGGTCGCAAGTGCGGCCTGCCCCCCACTTCAGCCTCCTCCAGACTCCGAGGACGTAAGCAGCGTGTTTTGTTTTTGTCCTGAATGTTCACATAAAACACAGTGCCACTACATTACTTGCAAATGTTCCCTTCGACTGCAGTCACAGTGCCCGAGTGGTTCTGCAGCAGCAACAAAGTCGTCAGGCGCAGACTATGCCAGCCTGGATGCAGTGACTTCGGTCGCAAGTGCCGCCTACCCCCCACTTCAGCCTCCTCCAGATCCCGAGGACGTAAGCAGCGTGTTTTGTTTTTGTCCTGAATGTTCACATAAAACACAGTGCCACTACATTACTTGCAAATGTTCCCTTCGACTGCAGTCACAGTGCCCGAGTGGTTCTGCAGCAGCAACAAAGTCGTCAGGCGCAGACTATGCCAGCCTGGATGCAGTGACTTCGGTCGCAAGTGCGGCCTGCCCCCCACTTCAGCCTCCTCCAGATTCCGAGGACGTAAGCAGCGTGTTTTGTTTTTGTCCTGAATGTTCACATAAAACACAGTGCTACTACATTACTTGCAAATGTTCCCTTTGACTGCAGTCACAGTGCCCGACTGGTTCTGCAGCAGCAACAAAGTCGTCAGGCGCAGACAATGCCAGCCTGGATGCAGTGACTTCGGTCGCAAGTGCGGCCTGCCCCCCACTTCAGCCTCCTCCAGACTCCGAGGACGTAAGCAGCGTGTTTTGTTTTTGTCCTGAATGTTCACATAAAACACAGTGCCACTACATTACTTGCAAATGTTCCCTTTGACTGCAGTCACAGTGCCCGAGTGGTTCTGCAGCAGCAACAAAGTCGTCAGGCGCAGACTATGCCAGCCTGGATGCAGTGACTTCGGTCGCAAGTGCGGCCTGCCCCCCACTTCAGCCTCCTCCAGATTCCGAGGACGTAAGCAGCGTGTTTTGTTTTTGTCCTGAATGTTCACATAAAACACAGTGCCACTACATTACTTGCAAATGTTCCCTTCGACTGCAGTCACAGTGCCCGAGTGGTTCTGCAGCAGCAACAAAGTCGTCAGGCGCAGACTATGCCAGCCTGGATGCAGTGACTTCGGTCGCAAGTGCGGCCTGCCCCCCACTTCAGCCTCCTCCAGACTCCGAGGACGTAAGCAGCGTGTTTTGTTTTTGTCCTGAATGTTCACATAAAACACAGTGCCACTACATTACTTGCAAATGTTCCTTTTGACTGCAGTCACAGTGCCCGAGTGGTTCTGCAGCAGCAACAAAGTCGTCAGGCGCAGACTATGCCAGCCTGGATGCAGTGACTTCGGTCGCAAGTGCGGCCTGCCCCCCACTTCAGCCTCCTCCAGACTCCGAGGACGTAAGCAGCGTGTTTTGTTTTTGTCCTGAATGTTCACATAAAACACAGTGCCACTACAATACTTGCAAATGTTCCGTTCGACTGCAGTCACAGTGCCCGAGTGGTTCTGCAGCAGCAACAAAGTCGTCAGGCGCAGACTATGCCAGCCTGGATGCAGTGACTTCGGTCGCAAGTGCCGCCTGCCCCCCACTTCAGCCTCCTCCAGATCCCGAGGACGTAAGCAGCGTGTTTTGTTTTTGTCCTGAATGTTCACATAAAACACAGTGCCACTACATTACTTGCAAATGTTCCCTTTGACTGCAGTCACAGTGCCCGAGTGGTTCTGCAGCAGCAACAAAGTCGTCAGGCGCAGACTATGCCAGCCTGGATGCAGTGACTTCGGTCGCAAGTGCGGCCTGCCCCCCACTTCAGCCTCCTCCAGACTCCGAGGACGTAAGCAGCGTGTTTTGTTTTTGTCCTGAATGTTCACATAAAACACAGTGCCACTACATTACTTGCAAATGTTCCTTTTGACTGCAGTCACAGTGCCCGAGTGGTTCTGCAGCAGCAACAAAGTCGTCAGGCGCAGACTATGCCAGCCTGGATGCAGTGACTTCGGTCGCAAGTGCGGCCTGCCCCCCACTTCAGCCTCCTCCAGACTCCGAGGACGTAAGCAGCGTGTTTTGTTTTTGTCCTGAATGTTCACATAAAACACAGTGCCACTACAATACTTGCAAATGTTCCGTTCGACTGCAGTCACAGTGCCCGAGTGGTTCTGCAGCAGCAACAAAGTCGTCAGGCGCAGACTATGCCAGCCTGGATGCAGTGACTTCGGTCGCAAGTGCCGCCTGCCCCCCACTTCAGCCTCCTCCAGATCCCGAGGACGTAAGCAGCGTGTTTTGTTTTTGTCCTGAATGTTCACATAAAACACAGTGCCACTACATTACTTGCAAATGTTCCCTTTGACTGCAGTCACAGTGCCCGAGTGGTTCTGCAGCAGCAACAAAGTCGTCAGGCGCAGACTATGCCAGCCTGGATGCAGTGACTTCGGTCGCAAGTGCCGCCTGCCCCCCACTTCAGCCTCCTCCAGATTCCGAGGACGTAAGCAGCGTGTTTTGTTTTTGTACTGAATGTTCACATAAAACACAGTGCCACTACATTACTTGCAAATGTTCCCTTCGACTGCAGCCACAGTGCCCGAGTGGTTCTGCAGCTGCAACAAAGTCGTTAGGCGCAGACTATGCCAGCCTGGATGCAGTGACTTCGGTCGCAAGTGCGGCCTGCCCCCCACTTCAGCCTCGTCCAGACTCCGAGGACGTAAGCAGCGTGTTTTGTTTTTGTCCTGAATGTTCACATAAAACATAGTGCCACTACATTACTTGCAAATGTTCCTTTCGACTGCAGTCACAGTGCCCGAGTGGTTCTGCAGCAGCAACAAAGGTGGTGGGCACAGACCGTGTCAGCTTGGATGCTGCAACTTTCATTGCAGTTGCAAGCAATGTCGTCTACCCAGGTTCAGATGTTACAGTGGTAAGAGCCACATTATTTTTTTAATTATTATTCAGCGTTGCATTTATGGTGCCCAAGAAAAAGTACTAATAATGTGCACAACATAAAATTTCAGGTTACGCCGCTGGCACCTGATGTACACGCCCAGCTTTTAAGAAGAATTCACCAGCTTGAACCCCAAAACAAGATCTTAAAATGCAGAGCCAGTTCATCCAAGCGGAAATGTGAACAGCTGGAAGCTGGTTTGAAAAGGGTGTTCAATCCTGATCAGATTCAGGCCTTGTCCCGACAAAGCAACAGAGGATGCAAGTGGTCGAAAGAAACAATCAAAGAAAGCCTTCAACTTCATTTCGCCTGTGGTGCAACGGGTTACGACATGCTCCGTTCAAAATCGCTTCCACTACCAGCAGCGAGGACATTGCGACAAAGGATTCAAGGTTATAATAAACAATATACCTTTATTGCGAGTTTTCAATTTGAGTACATATGTATTCCCATATAGGACATATCAAACTACATTCAATATACCCAAATGCACCACCACACACAAGAATCAATATAGCTTCGTAACTTAACCACTCCTGAAAAGACTTAACTTTCGTTCACAAGCCGTTAACCAAGAAATTGCCTAATTGAGTTCTCTTTTCTCTCGCTTGTGTTTCTTTATCCCCGACTGATGGGGGCGAGAGCCTCATCAGGCTGCTTCTCGGAGATTTTTCTTCTGTCGTTTTAGCTCCTCTCGTGTGGTACTAAAGGCTACATTATAGGTGCCATTACTTTATACAGTTCATTCACTTTGTTTCTGCTTCTTTTGCATGCAGGCCTCAAATTTGAACCTGGTGTTTTGGGCGAAGTTTTTAACCTCATGAAGTCTAAAGTGGAACTACTCAATGAAAAGGAGAAGAAATGTGTTTTGATGTTGGACGAAATGGCTATCGTCCCAAAAGTCGAGTATGACTCAAGTACAGGATCAATTCGGGGATACTCCACCCTGCAAGTGCCTAGTGTAAGCGGCTCAACTCTGGCGACGCATGCCTTGGTCATCATGATAGCGGGTGTGTCCTCAAGGTGGAAGCAGGTTGTAGGCTACCATTACACAGGTTTGTAGAAAACTCAAAAAAATTTGCGGTGAGTGCTTCAAGCATAACCACTTAAACTTCATTTTTATCTTTTTCAGGAAATTCATTCAATGGGGATGATGCAGCAAAAATGGTACTTGAAATAATAAGAAAATGTGATGACATGGGCCTTCATGTTGTAGCCATTACAACAGATATGGGGTCAGGGAACAGGGCAATGTGGAAATATTTTGGAATCAGTGCTGGGAAGTACAGCAGGGTGTCGAACAAGTTCAAGCACCCTTGCCGAGAAGATGCCGATATAGCTGTGCTAGCTGATGTGCCGCATGTAGCGAAAAATCTCTGTGGGCATCTTCTTCGGAAGCAAAAAATCACTCTCAGTGACGCAGTCGTTGCGGAAAATAATTTGAACTCCAATATCGTAACAATCCAACCGGTGGTGAGGCTAATAGAATTCCAGGAGCAACAGACCTTCAAGCTGGCACCGAATCTCCAAAAAGAACTCCTGGAACCGAACCAGTTTGAAAAAATGAAGGTATATAGCTCTCAGTTGTGCACTGAGTGAAACACAAATATGTGTACTGACTGGACATTTATTTTTATGCAGGTTAGCAATGCACTGAGAATACTGAGCCGCTCCACATCCAGTGCTCTTCGGTTCATGGTGGAGAACTACGGCTGGGAGAAGGACGTCCTGACAACAGCTTGGTTTATTGAACATGTGAACCGATGGTTTGAGTTAATGAGTAGCCGACACCCCACAACGACATTGAGCTTCTTTGATTCAGAGCGGTACTCGGAAGCATTAACCTTCCTGAACAAGTTCAAGGACATGTTCACGTCGTTGAAAATCGACACGGGGACTTTCAAGCCTGTTCAAACAGGAGTAATCTTGTCAACCTCCTCGATACTCTACCTTCAAGACCTGCTACTCCATGAGGAGGGGTTTACCTTTGTTTTAACCTCAAGGTTCACGCAAGACAGTCTCGAAAACTTCTTTTCATCTGTCCGACGTCGTAACCCCATTCCAACCCCGGTTGAGTTCAAATCAGCCTTGAGGATCATAACACTGTCCCAGTATTTGAAACCTGTCAGGAACAGCTCCTACGAATTGGATGATGAGGCATTTTATCTAGCAGACTTATCTGACATCCCCGAAGCAACCAGGGTTGAGCCTGTCGAAACGGATGAAGATGATCCACCAACAGTCACAGAGCTCTCGGAGAGTAACTCTTTTTATTACTACTGTGGATATATAGTATCGAGAGTTGTCAAAAATGATTCGGTGTGCGACGAGTGCATAGCTGCTGTGAAAGCTGTTGAAGGCCAGACAGTTCTGGGTAACCTCACACGTCTAAAAGCGTACAAAGAGGGCTGTCTGGTCTTTATCTCTGACAGTGTCTTGGAACTTCTGACTAGGTGTGAGGCAACATTCACCGCGCGCATCTCATCACTGTTGAACTCCAGTAATATTGCAAATACACTGGCGGCTGAAATGAAAGCTCGCAACCACAGCCTTCCGGAATGCCATGACATTGCTGGGAAAATCATTGGGCGTTTCTGTCGGGCTAGAGTGAGGCTTTATGTAAAAGAACTGTCCAAAAAAGAGCTCAACAAGAAAACTGTTGGTACTGACCTTTCAAGCAAGTCAATGGCAGCACCAAGGAGGCGCTAAGTAACGAGGTCAACCAAGTTTATCGCGTCATTAGTTTACGTCGTGTCGCAAGATTCCGACCGCTTTTACAAAGTGTTATGATCAGTGTTATGTTTCAAAATATCTAACCAGTAAATGGAACTAATTTTATTGCCAGATCTGGTCGAACTGGTAAATAAAGCTTTATTCCCTCTGACCTTTTGTACATTTTTCTGCTATACATATGGGAGTTTCAGAAATTGGTCCATTTGCATATGACGCGTTAATTATCTGCTTTTGCGCTTGGTTCGTTACACGTTTTGAGCTTTGAATCTGTTAAACTGATAGTCTGTTGCCGTTTTGCGTTCGCGCTCACTCAGTTCCATAAAGTAAGGCACAGTAGCACAAGTTGTGCGGATGGCTGCACCAAAAATGTTTTGGGCGAAAATAATTTTTTTTTTTTGTAATCTTAAATTCCGTCTGATTCAAAATAACCAGTTAATTCAAACTAGCATGGACGATGTCCGGCGAGTTTTAATGCCTTAAGGCCGGTTCAGACACGTGCGTTTGACTGCGGTGCGTCGAGAACCGAAACCGAGTCACCGGCACATCTGTGCTTCGTATGAAGAGTGGAATCCAATTCAAGGAATTATCTTGGCACGCGATATAAGCAGCAGGGATGTCCTGGTTTCTCGCTGCCGCAACACAGTCAAACGCAACTGTCTGAACCAGGCTTTAAGCTGACTGTGCAGCGAAGGCTACAGGCGCGAGATCGAAGCTTTGAGCAGCGAGCGCCTTGGCAGCCGTATATAGACGCTTTACACACGCGCCAAATTACAGCCGCCATTGCTGACCTTCTCTTGTCTTACCGAGATGCCGAGCAACTGAAACGGTAGTTGACGATCCTCTACGAAGGCCGACGCTTTAGAAAAGGACACAGTTGAATCTAATGTGGCAGTAACCTGGCCTGCTATGGTAATGATGAAGTGAAATAAACGGAATAAGAGGAAACAAAAATTGAAGGTCAGTTATGGCGGCGTCCATGCACAGCTGCTGCAAAGCGTCTATATGGCTCTGCTTGGCAGGAAAGGCCCGGATCCTTGCAAGGAGCACGCGCTAGCTCGAGCTCGTCTCGTTCGCTGCACGGTCAGTTTTAAGACAAACTGAGCATGCATGCGGTTCCGCCTACAGCGAAGCGCATTCCATGTCAAAAAGCTTGCGCGTGTGGCCTAGAGCCCTATTTTTGCTCACACTTCGCGTCGTTTAATACCTCGTGGTAGCACATATGCACGGCGCCAATATATAAACAAACATTCGGTCGCTAACCGGCCGTTTTCGGCTCTGCGACGGAAGCCACTAAATGCGGTTAAAAATCCCGCTGCCCCCGCTGCAGATAAATCAAGTGAGCCAACTCTGACTAGGCGTCAAAATTTCACAAAAGTTTGAAGCGGTGGGACCCTGCATCTGCACCCATTTGAACGCGATACATGAACGCGTTGTAGCGTAAATTTTATCAATGTAACCGCCTGTGAGGACGACGCGAAATCACGCTGCCGTTGGAAGCTATTTTAATGTTTCTGACTGATTGTATGCGCGATCTACATTTCGAAGTCTGCCTTCAGTATCCCATACTCCAAGGCGAAGCTGGCGAAGCGCTCGCCTACGCGGTCGTTGCTCGTGGTCGCTCCCACAACTGGTGTAAACATGGCGGCGAGCGCACCCGGGCGCCTGAGCGGAGGCGTTCCCTGACGTCGGCGGTGACGTAGCCCGCGTCAGCGCCGGAGCCTGCCTACGTGGCCACGCCTACTCGCCAAACTCTCCCCGTATATATGGCTCTGGATATACTGAAGTATGCCCACACTTGTCCAGGATGTCAGAAGTCAAAGCCACGCGAAGGTCACCTACCAGGATTTATGCAACCAATCGTAAGCCACTCTCCTTGGCAGGTTGTTGGCTGCGACCCGTAATGGGATCGTTTCCTCATAATCCGTACAGTAATCGGCATCTTCCTGTCGTGACTGATCACTTCACGAAATTGGTTGAATTGTTCCTTTTACAGAAGCTTCTTTCGCAAAAAAATCTGGGATTGCCTTCTCGCCGTCCTTACCAGATTCGGCTTTCTTTCAGAGCTCATTGTTGATTATACTTCCGGAGCAAAGTTGTCTCGACATCTGTGCTGTGCTTAGCATACAGTACAAGCTCACTTGTCCGCAGTGTTTATAGTCTGTTGTGCCGCCTAGCTGTTCGTTGGCAGATGCATTACATGCACCGCGAAAGGGAACATAAAAGCAGCATAATATATTATTGGTTTCCCAGGGAAACGCACACAAGACGTGTACACTTAGAGTATAGAGTATTGCTTCTTACATCTCATCAGTGTGGTCATTGCTTCAGTTACTGTGGTTAATTAAAGTGGTATTTTTTTCTTACATTCAATCAATGGATATTTTTTCAGGTGCTTCTGGTGCGCTGCCTATAGGCAGTGGATGCTATGGTTGCGACTGCGACTGGGGCAAAGCAACAGGCGACCACTGCCCTCCTGCATGGTGAAAACAATTAGGGACTGATCGCTGCGACTGAATAAAAGTGTTTTTGTTCTACTGGGTGTAGAACCACCTTTTTTACTCACCACAAAAGTAAACAATGCATCGTCCAATGGTCGGTCTTCACACAAATGTATTCTTAGCCGTTAGAGCCAAGTGACAACTTACTATTGCCCACTTCAAAGTTGTAATCGATTTGCATAACTTCTCCAAGAACACTCGGGGTTTTGTTGCCTGTCATCTTTTCAGCGCTTCTGTGCAAACATTTCCATACTCCGTTTCACCTTACAACTGACTGCAGCAGACGCTACGAGCTATTAGAGCCAATGGACAATAAGTTAAATAGCAGCGCCACTAGCGGTTCAGGTGCACTCTGGGAGCAGGAGACTGTCAATAAGTAGTTTCGGTTTCGCCGGGTTGTGAATCTGACCTCTGCTATTGTCTCCACATTGCCATTGCTCACGTCGTCGTGGATTGCTCCAAACTTGTGAACGATGCGCTAAGTGCCCTTTTCTTCTCGTCGCTACAAATCTGACACAGCGAATAATGAAACAATTAATTTTGCTGGCACGGGTTTTGAGCGAGAACGTTCCAACGGCGAACTGAAGTGAACGTAGAGCGACGTACGCCGAATGCCGTGCCAGATCGCTGTGTGCATTTGTTTGCCACCTCGAAAACATCCACTGAGACTAGCACTCATTTTATAATACCCTTGCTTCGCCAATCGCTGTTTGCAATTGGTTTAACACAATACATGACGAAGCTCGCTGTACGAGAACGTTCAAGCGCAAACTAGCGCCCTTTGCTACGTTGCTGTGTGAAAATTGGCCGCGGGAGTACTAGTCTGAGTGTCTGTTCTCAATGTTGCAAACAAATGCACGCGGTGAACTGGCATGGCATTTGTCGATCTGCATTCACTTGACTTCGCCGTTATGGCGTTTTTGCTTGTCCCCCGTGTCAGAAAAAATCCTAATTTCGTTATTCGCTGCAACCGATATGTAGCAATGTGAAGAAAGGGGTAGTTTCTGCAGCGTGTGGAAGTGTGGAGCATCCATAACAACAGGAGCAATGGAGGAGCGGAGACAATAGCACAACAGATGCACAACCCAGTAAAACCGAAACTACCCGTTGACACAGTATAGGGTTTTTTTGCGCGAAACAGGGGACAATTACAAGCGAGTAGACACGGACAAGCGCAAACTTTCAACTACTTTATTCGTGCGCAATCGACCACGAACATTCAGAAAGAGCATGCGCAGCACGCTACACAGACGAAAAAAACCGAAAATAGATAGTAAAGTCATCCACCAACACACATTCCACGATAGTCATTATCGAATCAGCAACCCGGATAAAAACTGCACTTCACTTTCAAACAAAGAAACCGAGGTATCGCTGACACAGTCATGGTTCTTCTTTATATAAAAAGCTCCCATCAATTCTATGTAGCAATGTGAAGAAAGGGGTAGTTTCTGCATCGTGCGGAAGTGTGGAGCATGGTTCTTCTGTCGATCAGGAATAAAGGCAATGCACACTTGCCTACTCACTGTGCCGACTGTGTGTGTGATGCGCGATTTCGGGAGATTAGGATCTTGGGTAGAAGCAAAGACAGCACAGCCAGAGAATTGATAGAAGCATTTTATATAAAGAAGAACCATGACTGTGTCAGGGATACCTCGGTTTCTTTGTTTGAAAGTGAAGTGCAGTTTTTATCCGGGTTTCTGGTTCGATAATGACTATCGTGGAATGTGTGTTGGTGGATGACTTTACTATCTATTTTCGTTTTTTTTCGTCTGTGTAGCGTGCTGCGCATGCTCTTTCTGGATGTTCGTGGTCGATTGCGCACGAATAAAGTAGTTGAAAGTTTGCGCTTGTCCGTGTCTACTCGCTTGTAATTGTCCCCTGTGTCGCGCAAAAAACCTCTATACTGCATCATGAACCAACTAGGCCAACCACAAGTTTTAATTTACCCGTTGAAAGTCTCCTGCTCCCAGAGTGCACCTGAACTATTAGGGACACTGCTATTTTGCATATTGCCCATTCATAGCTGTTTGGGTTTCCCATGACCTCCAAGAGGAAGCACATTTTTTTAAGATGGTTTGTTATGGGTGACTTTATGAATTTTCTGAATTGCAGGTTATCATGAAACGGCGAGACTAGATACTAATGAGGGGCCAAACTTTTTGCCGAATCGAAAATTCGGTGCCGAATCTTATGCCTAACAAAGCCGAATTTTCGCCGATCTTTTTTAAACATTCGGTAACAATATTTTGTTGCCAAACCTAAAAGTTGATATTTTTTATGTCAGGCAAAAATGTTTAGGTTTCGTCTTTTTTAAAATGCACATTGACACAGTTATTACTAAATAAGGTAATGTTCTGCAAGATAATTATATAGGTTTCATTTTTGCAAGTTTACCGGCAATTTTACAGTGACTTTGCAGAAGTGATGCGACACCGAGGTTGGGTAGTAGCGATCAGAGCACTATTTAGCTCCTAAGAGCAGAACAACGCAATCCTTTGAATCCGCGTGTTTTACCGACAATATGGCTGACAGAGTAGCTCGGCGCGAGTCACGTGGTACTCGCGGTTCCAGGAGGCGCCCGATTTATGGGAGAACACATGGAGATCGACGCAGCAAACACCGAGTTCACACTTCTCAAAACTAGTCT